ATTCCTATTGTTATTTAAGCACCCGTATGCTATGCGGTACTTTTTGGCTTTTTGAGAGGCCATACTTATACATACAAAACTCAAAAATCAATAATATCAAAAGTGCCTAAATACTTATTAGAGAAAAATAATTTTTATGTTAACGTAAGGCGCGCGTCAGCTCGAACGCGCGCGTTACAACCTCACGGAATTAGCTCCTTGTATGGGGCCACACAGCGTAGGTATATTTTCATGCCTAAAGCGCGGAGTGAGACAGGCCTGGAACTAGGCTGATATCTTCATTTACAATACACCAATAGAAAGGAAATTAAATATTTTTATTGGAAATCACCCCTAGGCCTATGAGTGCGCTACCCAAGTCCATTGTTAAAAAGGGTTTATTGTTAAGTGTCTGGTTTTGCGCTCCAGTTCTGAGAAATAGGCAGATATCTTCATTTACGATACACCAATAGAAAGGGCATGCGTTCTAGGTGTTTTTAAAAATGTTTACATGTGTAAGTCTACTTTCCTTTTTTTAAAGGGTAGTAAAATATTTAAGTGCTTTTTCGTAAAAAGACATAATTTAACCTTTCTAAAAATGTCTAACGCGGTCGGAGCTAAGTTTTGCAAGACCCGCCGCAGAAGAACACAAAAACTCTCCGATCACACTCTTAATCTCATGGCTGTTAGACGGGAGATGATGCTACATTCTTCAACAGATTTGGCAGCATACAGGCAACTGAACAGACAGATCTCCAAATGCATGCGGCGGGACTTACGCAACTTCAATACAGCTAGTATTGAAGAAGCGATCGAGCGGAACCATGGCTCCAAAGTCTTTGCCAGAGAAGACTGCTTCTGTCTTCTGTCTGCCAGAAAGAGCCAACTGTCAAAGCTGAAGACCGAATGTGGCAGCATCGTTTCCGGGGCACCTGAGATTTTGAGTGAGATTGAGAGGTTCTATGGGCAGCAGTACACGTCATCGTTGGAGCCACACGCAAGTGTGAGTAACGATCCAAGAGCGAGTCTTATCCGACATTATTCCGAAGATATCCCGGACGTCAGTCAGAGCGAGATTAGAATGGCTCTCCAGCACCTTAAAAACGGCAAGGCCCCAGGCGAGGATGGAATTACAGCGGAGCTTCTGAAAGCGGGTGGAAAACCGGTACTTGAAGTCCTTCAGAGGCTCTTTAATTCCGTCCTCCATGGTGGCATTACACCGGAGGCGTGGAGCAGAAGTGCGGTGCTCTTATTCTTCAAGAAAGGCGAAGAACTCTTGAAGAACTACAGACCGATTTCCCTTCTGAGCCGCGTCTACGTGCTGTTTTCGAGAGTCATTACGAATCGTCTTGCGCGCAGATTTGACGACTTCCAGCCTCCCGAACAAGCCGGTTTCCGAAAAGGCTTTAGCACCATAGACCACATACATACCATTCGGCAAATTGTACAGAAGTCAGAGGAGTACAATTTGCCACTATGTCTGGCGTATGTGAACTATGAGAAAGCCTTTGATTCCGTCGAAATTTAGGCGGTGCTGCAGTCCCTTCAGCGGTGCCAAGTTGACTGTCGGTATATCGAAGTGCTGAAGTGTTTGTGTTGTAGAGCTACGATGGCTATCCGAGTACAGAACCAGAGTACGAAACCTATCCAATTGCAGAGAGGTGTAAGACAGGATGACGTCATATCGTCATATAAATTTGCTTTGTCACTCTTTCCCCATTCATTCTTTCTACATGAACAAACCATCGAAGCATTCCTTTCTTAGTCCTAGTCACAACACCAAACACAACCACACTCTTCTCTTATCACACAATTTCTCACTCTGTCATTCAGATTCATCCCTAACATACTCCTTAATGACCACATTTCTACAGCATTTATTCTACTCTCGTGCTTCTTCTGCCACACCCAACTTTCACTACCATACTATAAAGTAGGGACTAACACAGCATTGTGAATTGCCATACGTGCCTTTTTGGACACATTCTGACTTCTCACAATAGGGTGTAGAGCCCCATTCACTCTATTTCCTGCATTCACTCGTCGTTCTATATCCTTATCATGTCTACCATCCCTGATAAATACACATCCCAAATACACAAACTCATCTACTTGCTCGACCAACTCCCCTTCTATTCTTATTTCACATATCGTTTTACTTTCTTCTCTTTCAAAAACCATAACTTTCGTCTTACTTGCGTTCACTTTCATTCCCTTTTTTTAATGTCCTGTTCATTAATGTAACGATCATTTGCAACTAAGCCGCCGACGACGCAAGTATGATTTGATCATCAGCGTACAAAAGGCATTTGACGGTTAACTCACCCATTCTTAACCCACATTCTTCTACTTTCAAATTTTCCAAACAACTGTCAATAAATAGGTTAAACAGCCACGGGGAAGCCCTACATAGCCCTGTCTGACACCTTTATGGATGCCAACGGTGACGTTATATCCCCGAAACTCTTCGCCGCTGCATTGGAAGACGTTTTCAAGCTTCTGGACTGGAAAGGATACGGTATCAACATCAATGGCGAGTACATCACTCACCTTCGATTTGCCGACGATATAGTCCTTATGGCAGAATCGCTGGAGGACCTAAGCACTATGCTCAATGACCTCAATAGTGTTTCCCAACGGATAGGTCTTAAGATGAACGTGGACAAAACAAAGATCATGTTTAATGTCCATGTCACACCTATGCCGGTAGTTGTTGGGAGCACTCGAAGTTGTTGACGAGTATGTTTACCTGGGACAAATAGTCCGACTAGGTAAGTCCAACTTCGACCGACAGGTCAATCGACGGATTCAACTCGGTTGTGCAGCGTTCGGGAAATTACGGCACATATTCTCGTCAAGTATACCTCAAAACTTGAAAACGAGACTGTACAACCAGTGCGTGTTGCCAGTGATGACATACGGAACTGAGACGTGGTCCTTCACTGCTGGCTGGATGAGGAAGCTCAAGGTCGCTCAGCGAGCTATGGAGAGGGCTATGCTCGGAGTTTCTCTGCGTGATAAACTCAGAAATGAGGATATCCGCAGTAGAACCAGTGACCGACATAGCCCAACGGATTAGTAAGCTGAAGTGGCAATGGGCCGGCTATATAGCTCGAAGAACCGACAACCGATGGGGAAAAAGGTTCTCGAGTGGCAGCCTCGTACCGGCAGGCGAAGTGTTGGGCGTCCCTCCACTAGATGGAGTGACGACTGGTTTAGGGTAACCTACACAAAAAAGTGCCGCACGAGGTAACCTGTCCCATACCCCCCCCCCCCCCCCGTCCACCCTTTGCATCGACCTTCCGAACAACCTGTATTTGTTACTATATAGCTATTTATTCCTACTACCTTTGGTTCTTATGACAATATTTAGTTATATCGATCTTCCGAACAGCCTGTATATATCAAAAAAATTTCATGAAATAATTCTTAAGTCTATATTATTTATGTATATTTATTTCTTTTTGATAAGAATGGTGGGTATATTTGACTGCTGAGTTATAAGTAATAACTTTTAAACTAAAAATAGTACTTTAGACAAATAAAAAGACCGATAATTGGTCCAAGCCGAAAGACCAATATTAGAAGAAATCACAAATAATAGATTTTTAGGTCTGCGTGATACGACTGTCAATTTCCAATTACACTAATTTTTTTTTTCACAGCTGTGAAAGTTGTAGACTTGGAGTTGTACTGTTGTACATCTTGCAAAGTAAACTGGCTCATCTCAACTTCAAAATTTGACATAAGTCAGTAACAAAACAGATGGTATCTAGAAGTAGTACGTATGAGGTGATATGTTAGCATATGAAAATGGACCCAGCAAGATGACGTGTGAGAAATTAATAAAATATACCTTGACCCAAAATAACTTTGAAGATTTTCTGGAACCGTGCTAACCAAAATTACAATATAACTGCGCATGCATAATAACTCAAATAAAAATATCTTTCACATACATCTCTCACATATATCATTCTTATATCTAATTCAACAAACATCAATCTTCTAACTAGTTCAACATTTTCATTCCATCATTCTTAGTTTCCGTTTGGGTCCTCTTAGGTGTATTTACTAAAGCACAGTAGTCTCCATATCTGCCTACCCTTATGGGTAACAGGCGTGAGTGTTCTATTTTATTAATCGAATGAATAGACATTTCGAAGCTAATTCATGAATTCTTCAGGATTTTGCCACTTTATATCAGATATGGCCTCGGTCTAATGTTTTTTTTTTATAGAATAAAGGCAACAAACGAGCACACAGTCCACCTGATCGTAAGTGGTTTCTGTGGCCCATAGACATTTACATCTAGCCTCGATGAAGAATCAAAATGCAAATGCGTCCTGTGCGACCCAGTAAAAAGGGTATCCCGTTCTTTACACTCAACTCACGAAACGTCAAGATATGATTAATTTAAAAATATTGAGATCTTGTTCTTGACGAAACTAAGTTTGTGGGTAAGTAGTTTAGGTGAATATTTCCAGGCATAATAGAATTACTAAACACTTGGGGAACTTTCTATAAGAATATCAGCATCACGATTTTGAAGATAAAAGGAGCTACAGTTCTTAATATTATTTTACAACAATAAACTTACAATAATTTACAAGCAATTGCTTTTATAAATTTATATAGAAACTAACCAATGCTAAGGTATCACAAGTAGATTAGAAAATAAAAGTGTAAGTCTCAAGCTAAGACAGTTTGCGATAAAACTAAGCAACAATTATCTTTTAAATTAACCTAGCATATAAAGACTTATGTTAGTTATGTATCCTCGTAACATTTAAGAAACTCTGTCTCCGAAATTCGCTTTAACATGATAGTATTCATTGAATTAAAAATAATATCCATTCAAATTGATGACCCAAACGGAAACATATCCATCCCGCTCGCACGCATGCTGAGTGACGGGCGGGAGGGAGACAACCACACACACCTTGCTCTCAGACACGAATGTAAAATGGCTGATGATTGCTGATACGTACATTTCTATATATCCGTTGTACTATGCCTACCTTGCTTGGGGCCGCCACTACGGGCGAACTACCTGGCGATTTCCTCTTATTGTTACTTTGCTTCGCTGGGCTAGGTTTAGATTTGCGCGAGGCTTTCGTACTGCGTTTCGGGGTCGTTCGCGCCTTTTTGATCGGCGTTTCCGCTTCCTGTAACAAGTATGGTTATTGACGCGCATGCATTCTAGCTAAAGGCCGCTATACCAGGGGTTCCCAAACTTTTTCAGATCGCGGTGCCATTACAGTTTCATTATGTTATATCGGTGCACTAGCTAGTCGAAATAGGGTATAATGATATTAGATAGGCATAAAAATTAAAACATCCGCAATATGAAAGCAGACTTTTCATGTTTATATTAACACGCAAGAATACATTTATTATTTAAGAAAACTAGGTATCAATATACAATGGCAACTTAGTCGATATGATGTTTGAGCTTGGTGATCTCAAAACATTTTTTCAAACGTGGGATAACTTTTACACCATCTTTACTAATTTACTAATTTCTTGCTCCACGTTGATCTATGAGATATATTTGCTCTTTATAACAACTACAGCTGAAAATCTGGTTTATTTTGTACCCGCGAACACATAAGTTTAGTTTCCAAAGAATGGTAAACAGGAGCGCCTTACGGCCTTCCCTTTACTCTCTATGGCGCACACTTTGGGAACCCCTGATCTATAGTAATATACAACAAGTTACTAAAACGCTGTGGTTCCCGTTAATTACGTTATCAGAATCAGTATTCAAACGTATAAAAATAACCTTACTTCAGAAAACAAGACGATGAAAAATTAACTTAAATTGAAATAAATTTTTAGGTTTTATTGCGTCTTAACTGATACGCGCATCGGTAAAGCGAGGTCTCTTACTCCCAGCCCAATGCAGAGATAGGCAATAAAAATACATACAATTTGCAAATAACAGTGTATTTAAAGGAGAAGGGGACTTTCCCATACATTCTTGGGCCCAGGTATTAACAAGATGAAAATTAAGACCATTCGAAAGCTTACTTATAAATAATTCATAGCTGAAAATCTGGTAAGATTTGTCAATCTAGGAGTTGAATTATTGTAGAAAGTAAAAGTTATATAAAAAAATTATATATTACCTACACTGTAACAGTCCATTTTTCACTACACTAACTTAAATATACAATTATGTATGTACGAGTATTTATAAATTAGCATTTCTACTTTAAGTGTATTACAATTAAAACAATGGCCCATTATGTCGATACCTAATGAGAGTCAGTCGTATAGGCAAGATTCTCGGTGCCTAATAAAGAAGCAGGGGTAAGGTTTGAAAGTAAGTCGCCTGAAGTGGGGGTGGTGGGGGGAAGGAGCCAACCACGAAATAACCCGCCAGCCCCTTCTAACTTAACCTGTGCCTCAACTAACGAGCTCGCTTCGCTCGCTCTTGCACTCGATAAAACACCAAAATATTAACTTTTATAATTACTTTAATTTATAAACATAATTTATAAAAAAAGTTTCTTTGCGAAATTAGCGATGCTTAGCGAAGTCGTTGAAAAACAGGAGGAGGCAGATAAAAACGTTAAACGGAACACATTCACATAAACTCGGAAGCAACGGAACAACGTAAAGTATATCTGTCACTGTCAACAAAATGGCCGGCCTAGCGAACCATTTCACGCTTTTATCATTATTCAGATGACTTTGACAGATTCAACGTCAAAAACGTTAGAATTTAGTTAAATGTACGTACCATTTCAAGTTTAGTTAGTGATTTGCCAATAATTTTAAAAAATAATTAAAAATACTTCAACGTTGCTCCGGCAGCAAAAATTGCATGGGTGTGCTTCAGATAAACCCCCTTGATCCCCACGCAGTCACAGAATCCTCAAATTCAGGCGACTTACTTTCAAACCCAACCCAAAAGCAGGATCAGTATAAAATCATTAAATAAAAGCTGTCATTATCAAGGAAACGAAATGGTTAAACAAATTACTGAAAACTAAAACAACAAGTGACAAGCGATTGAATATTAGGCATATCAATCTGAGGTTAATTACTTAAATTGTTGTTATTACAGTTATTTGTTGGCATGTTGATGTTTTATATTTTTTTATTCGGTATTTTTAGATGTGATCACAATTCTTTTTTATCTCCCTAAGTAAATTCAGAAATATTATGGAAAATAGATCTTAAATTGCTGGATTTATTCAAGAATCGATTGTATTTAACTTGTTTCAAATTGAATCGAAAATAGGTCTTTTTCTTAAATTATGTGAATAATTTTTAAGTTTGAACCGTCAAGTTTTAAAATGAAAAGACGTTTAGTGGTAGGTAGCGTTCAGAAACGAGAATTTCAGTAGTGATTGATTCTTTATTTTAATTGATTTATTGACATAAAAATGTTTATTTCTTTACTTCCTTATGCGAATAATATATTTTATTTCAAATTGGGTTCAAAGATCATTCAAAGCAAATAACAAAATTTTAATGAAACCTTAGAAGCTTTCTTATTTTAGTTTTTGTATCCGAATAAATATTAAATCGATTGTACTAATACAATCGATTTTCTAAATTATTTCTTATTCTTGTTTTTGGTATTTTAATTCAGAAAAATAAAGCCAATTTTTAACATATGAACCAATTGTTATCTTTAGGCCCAAAAATCCCATTCTCCTTTAATTGATTTTTTTTATCGTCGAGTTTGCTGAAGTAAAGCTATTTCTGTATGTTTGAATACTAATTCTGATAACGCACTTAACGGGAACATCAGGGTTTTTGTTACATGTTATATATATGAGCTTTAGTGTAGATGTATGGAAGTTTGTTTCTCAACGAGATCTAATACACCAGACGTCGCTGGTTGCGGCTGACGTGAAGTTATTTGTTACGCAATGTCATTATCATTGGGTAAAACAATGCCTCAGTGATTGTCTCTTAATTTTTATTTTCAAATTTTTTATCTCCCTTTTTAACTTTTTCTACTTTTAGGAAATATCTGTTGTTCGGTTTATTCATTGCAAGTATATAATATAATATAAATTTCAGAAAGAAACATTGACCATTACATTTTTCTAACAAATTACCTTCCCCCACCATGAAATCTCTCATTCATTGATTCATCTTGTTGAAGCTATTTTAGAATAGAGTAGTGTAGTAACAGTTACAAATATTTTATTGGAAAGAATATAAAGTTGTTGTTCACTGATGATAATGTAGTCCATGTTTTAAATTCCAGGTTATGTTAAAAATAGGTCAAAAATATTTATTGGGCTTTTCCAAAGACTTATACAATGTGTTAATTTTACACTTGATCAAACGAAATGTGCGGATACTAGATAAAAAATTATCGGTAAAAAATCGAAAAAAAAATTTTTGATGTAAACTGTTTAAAAAATAAAAGCATTTGAATTTTTTTTTTTTGTTAAAATTCCCATCCTTCGGTTTTAACCTCTTCAGACCTGAACTAGAGGGGACTTATGTATAAGTAACTTTTTGCGTTTTTTATACTTACTGGGGTCAAAATAAAAACTGTAATTTTTTAAAAAAAATTTATTATTATTATTAATATAAAAAAAAGTTGTTCCACATATGTGGACCTTGGGTCTTAATGCGGTCCAAAGTTCTTATTAGAATGGTAACTCTCGAAACAGTTATTTTTTAATATACATAAAAAAACATGACATTTTACACACATAGTGCGGCATTTGGATGAACATGTCGGATGGCGACATTTGGATGCGTTCTTGGAATCAATGAATCGTGGCAGGTGGCCCACATTATCCAGCCTTGTTTCAGGTAGCGGATGGGGTACAACCGCTCGATTTTTTTTTGCAGGAGGCTCATCACAGCCCACGTCCGTGATTTTTGAGTTGGAAACTGCCGAGGGGCCAGGGCTAGATTGAGATCTGGAGCCAGGACGCATAAAATTTGGGTCCACTCTACCACCGTCATACTTCATCAAGGCTTTAGCCAAATTCAAGCGGTATTGAAGCAATCCCAGCTTATGCTTGCTTTCCACATTTTCAACTTTGCAACAACGCATGTACATCAACCAGCAATTGACAACCACAAGGTCGAGAAAGTGACAAAACGTTCTAACTGTCCATTTTTTTGTGCGCATTGAGCTCCGATAATATGCAACGAGCCGATCACACAAGTCTATTCCGCCCATGCAAGTGTTGTAGGTTTTTACAACAGCTGGCTGTGTCACATCTATCTTTTCTTTTCTAACCTTACACCAACGCTGGCACGTAGTTGCTGGCTCACCTCCTGTACATGTAGATAGCAATGTTACCGCTTTTGTGTCTTTCCATTTCACGATACATATGTTATCATCATTTCGGACTTTTTCATCCCAGGCCCCTCTCTGCAACTCCTTGTCTGGCTTCAATTTCGTAGATACTGGGCCAATTCTATTTGTCATAACAGTTCCAGTTAGAAATATTTGATTATTATTTGCAATAAGATGCTCGGCCAGTTTTAAACTAGTAAAAAACCTATCGGTGTAAAGAACACAACTGCTTTCAATGGTGCGGCAAAGAGTTTGCACAATGCCGCCTCCTAGTCCCAAATTTTTCATAATTTCTGGTGATATGGTGTCTTTACCAACATATATTTCGAAATCTAACACTATTCCATCTCGGGCAGCGAGTACAAAATTTTTAAGTCCAAGTGGATTAGGTTTACTTGGAACGTACTGACGGTACTCACATCGCCCTGCAAATGGTATCATTTGCTCGTCTATGGACATGTGTTTAGAACGAGGCAAACTGTGGCATTTCTTTAAAATTGGATTAATTATTGGCCTTATTTTCCATAGTTTGTCGTTAGTATCTGGACAGTTCAGGTCTACGAAGTGGAGATAATTGCGAAGTTCAAAAAATCGGTCCCGAGGCATGGTATCCCTGATAATAGGCACACATAAATCTCTAGTCCAATAAAGTTTTCCTTGGGGGTATTTAAGAGTACCCATCAATAATTGCATACCCGCAAAATGAATAATCTCAATGGAGTTTGTTTTCAATGATTTTAGATCACGTTTTTGAGCAGAATAAATGTTACTTTGTTCAGCCACCATTTCCCAGAATTCTGTTCCCAAGTACTCAAAAAAACAATACAAAATGTTCATCTCTGAAGTACCCTGCGCTACGAGCTCATCATCTGCGATATCTGGTCCACGGCAACGCATTTCTTTTGTACGCCAAAACAACGGTGCTGACCTTCCAGGTTCCGCTTCTGTCAAATTTTCTTCTTCATCTTCTTCTGAATCGTCGGACTGATGAAGAGCCCTTACCACTTCTGGAGGCAAGTAATCATTGTCATCTTCATTGCCAGAGAAGTCAAAGTCACTTTTATTGAGAATATCCTCAATATCCCGGTCATTCATGATAGAACTGAAAAATAGTAATATGCTATTAAAACCAACGTTAAATCCTGAGGTCCACATACGTGGAACAGCAAAAAAATTCGAATTTTGATACAAAAAAAAACAAACAGAAACAAAAACTCACCCTTTCAAACATAAATTTAGTTATTCAGCTATACAAAACTACAACACTTTCGACTTGAAGCAAACAAAATAATTTTATATTGATTTTCAAAGTTCGAACGTGACAGACCTACGGAAAATTTTCAAACGAACAATTTCAAACTTAATTTTACGTGTCAAAACTATTGTCTAAAAGCCATCTATCGGTTTAGATAGAAGCTCTGTATCCTTTATCGACTTTCATTAGTATTGACAGTTGTCACACGATGTCGCTAACTGTTGCAATTCTAAAAATGCTAAGGTCCTCGTATGAGTACCTACGGTCTGAAGAGGTTAAATTATTTTCTCTTTAAGTAAACGGTGTATTTTTTTCAAAGTAGTTTTATTTGAAAGTTAGAAAGATTAACTAGCAACAAAAATTAAAAAAACCTACGATATCAAGCAGGAAATTTGTCAAAAAAATAATAATATAATTTTTTTTGTTAAAAAAATACTTTTCTTTTTAATTTTTGGTCTGTAACTTCAAAACTAGTACGTTGAGATAACCTTTTTAGCATGTTTTATTAAACTACGTAGCTTACTGTACAAGTTCTCCAAAATAACATGCGTTCTATCTCTTTTCATTTTTAAAATAATAATCATCAAAGAATGCCATCGGTATGTTGATTTGCGCTTATGCGCCGCACCTACCTCTAATTTGAACACCCCTGGTCGAACAATAGCAGCTAAAGATAAAAAGAGATAGATCAATGAAAAGCGAAACAAGTGAGTGAGAGAGTGAATTGTCGTTTGAATGAAATTTGGGTCTCCTTCTCGTAAGGCATGCAGGCAGCTTTAGCTATTTTAAACAGTTCATCTTGTAACGTTACCTAATTTGCACGTTGAATACGCTCACCATTTTTTTCGTCGTTATGCCTTCTACGATAGACTCATTGTCTGCTCGTGAAGTAGCTGACATTCATTACATTTACGGGTTTTGTGATGGCAACGCTCGCGCCGCCTCTCGAGAGTATCATCAGCGATTCCCGACAAAACCTGCCGTTGACTACAGGGTTTTCTTAGCAGTACATCGAGAATTAAGTGAAAATGGACTGCATCGCCCACATCGTGAACGTGCTTCTACTGTACCGGTAGATGTGGATGAACAAGTGTTGCGTTTGGTGTACCAAGACCCCACAATTAGTAATCGACGAATAGCACTCCAATTGGGGATTAATCAAGTCCAAGTGTGGAAAATTTTGAAAAAGGAATGTTTGTACCCTTTTCATTTTCGAAGAGTGCAGAATTTGCACGAGCCAGATTACGTCGGAAGAAGTGTTTTCTGTTCGTGGCTATTGCGGCAAAGACGATTAGTCCCGAACTTCTGTGACCGTATTTTGTGGACCGATGAGGCAAATTTTAACAGAACTGGAATCACAAATTTTCGAAACCTTCACTTGTGGATGCCGGAGGAAAAAAATCCCTTAGCAGTTCGGCCAGCGTCCTTTCAAATCGAATTTTCGATTAATGTTTGGGCTAGAATGATAAGTGATTACTTAATCGGACCATTTATTCTTCCGTCAAGGTTGACAGGCCCAGCTTACCTAACATTTCTACAAGAAGAGTTACCTGACCTGACGAGTGATGTGGATCTACAAACAAAGAGGAGGATGTGGTTTCAGCATGACGGCGCTCCAGCTCACTTCAGCACCATCGTGCGTGATTATTTAAACGAACTATACGGAGACAGATGGATAGGACGAGGCGGACCAGTAGCGTGGCCGGCACGAAGCCCTGATATGAGCCCCCTAGATTTTTTTTGTGGGGCCACATGAAACAGATTGTGTACAGTACTCCAATTAGTACAAGAGAAGAATTGGTACAAAAAATAATGGCTGCGGCTAGTCAAATAAAAGAAAATCGTACTGTATTAAAAAAAACAGTACGCAGTGTGGCATTACGTGCAACTGTATGTATGGATGAAAATGGTGGTCATTTTGAAAATTTAATAAATTAAATCATTTTTCTACGGTTTCTTTTGTTTTATTCCATAATTTTGACAATTAAATCATTATTAAATTACTTTTGAATTTTGTGCTCAGATTACCTACCATATTTTTAGTGATTATCTTAACAACGAAAAGAGATAGAATGCATGTTATTTTAGAGAACTTGTACAGTAAGCTACATAGTTTGATAAAACATGCTAAAAAGGTTATCTCAACGTACTAGTTTTGAAGTTACTGACCAAAAATTAAAAAGAAAAGTATTTTTTTAACAAAAAAAATTATCTTATTATTTTTTTGACAAATTTCCTGCTTGATATCGTAGGTTTTTTTAATTTTTATTGCTAGTTAATCTTTCTAACTTTCAAATAAAACTACTTTGAAAAAAATACACCTTTTACTTAAAGAGAAAATAATTTAAAACCGAAGGATGGGAATTTTAACAAAAACAAAATTCAAATGCTTTTATTTTATAAATAGTTTACATAAAAAAAATTTTTTTCGATTTTTTACCGATAATTTTTTATCTAGTATCCGCACATTTCGTTTGATCAAGTGTAAAATTAACACATTGTATAATACGAGACCGGTAATTAACAACAAAACTGGTCAGTGGGTGGCGTTCGGGCGGGTGGCTGGCATGGTAAATGCAGTTGCCATTTTCATTTACGACAGTTACTGTTTAGGCAATAACGAATTAAAGTTATATGCTTGCCTGAATTAAAAGTTCAAATCACGTTGACAGAGTAACAAATCAAAGAACTAGTCTTCCCGCCCGTTCGCAGTCAACTAAAGGAGTTACGGAGAATCGACCGTAACTTAGTGCGCAATTTATTAAGGCCGCAGAGCTCGTCTAGTGTTACATAGAAGTTTTAGAGTTTACTATCAAGAAATTCTTAATTGCAGCTTAAAGTAAAAAAGTTGGTGGTGTATCACCCGTGTGGTTAAGGAAGCATGTAAAGCCGTTGTTCCTAAGCTTGATCTCTCTCCGGTCGTGTCGATGCTGTCCCATCAGACTATGACAGTGAGGGAATAGAGAATTAAGCGCACTCTCACTCACTCACTCTCAGGTGAGTTTAGTGCTTGTGCACATTTTCATGCACAAAAATCCTGTGCTCCGCAGATGATGGCTAGTTTCCTATGAGACTAGCGGCCGTGGCCAAAATCGATCTGGTGGATATAATATTGAGTAATGACCCACTTTCGATAATTTTAATGCAGACTGTTATATAATAGGATTTTTTTTACCTTGCACGTAAGATTAGTCATGACGGGTGTTCGATTGCTTACCGCAGTCTCATTGGCGTCGTCGGGCTTCTCGCGCGGAGAGGACTTGGAGCTGTTCCGCTTTCTGGACTTCTTCTCCAGCTGCGATTCGTCTGTGTACAGTGATAGGTCCACTGCAACGTTAACTACCGTCAAACGATCATTCAAACAACATTTAGTTGGACAAACTGAATGTTGCTTTGTAGAATTACAGATGGGAGATCGGCAAATATTGGTTAGGCCGGTTTGCGCAAATCATTTTTAAGAGGATATCTGAACGGCTAGATTTTGAAGAATAGGTTTCAACAGGTTTTTTGCCGTCGCGCTGTGCCTAAGTTACTGAACTAGACAACCGTGACAGGCAACTACAGCTAGTACTGATTATAACTACGAAAGCTTGACAATATCATCATCACCTATTCCGCTGTTTTCTACTCCAGACTTTGACCAATACAAATTTTTTTCAAAAATAACTTTTTTATATGAGCGACAAACGAGCACACAGTTCACCTGACGGTAAGTGGATACTGTGGCCCATAGACATCTACATTTATCCTCGATTAAGAATGAAAATGCAGAGGACTAAGATGGAATGCCTCTTTTCCAGTAAAAAGGGTCTCCGATTCTCTACACTCACCATACAATACAAAGCAGCACTAAGCTGCTATTTTACGCTGGTATTCTGTGAGAGAGTTGCCCTACCATGGTCGAGTCGACCCATTCGTGCTACAATCATAATATAGCTGCAGCATGGCTCTATGCCTCTATGTATATAGAGTTTAGAGCTGCTGAACTGAGTAAATAAGTTCCTAAAGGAACTCCATTCGTGGCTGGTCGTTGCTGCTGGTGATAAAAGGGCTGGTTCTTTTCTCGCTCAAAGGCTAAGTATAGCCATTCAGCGGGGAAATTATGATACCATGGTGAGTAGTACTACTGTATGATAATTAAGTTACTAGTTTTAGTTTTTTTTTTAATGTTATTTCAGATAACGGCAGTATAGCTGAGCAATTTTAATGATTTTAGCAGGTTCCTAGTTTTTAAAATATTCATATTATGTAAAATAAAACAATACCACCACCAGAATATCCTCTTAAGATATTAGGTAATAGATTTCCTAACGCAACCAATAGCCATACAATTAATAAACAAAACTATTCAGTAATCATAAAAATATTTTACTTTAAAATGGATTAAAAGTGAATTTTTAACAAAGGAGTTTCTGACTATATTAGGGACTTAGTGATAAGAGGGAATATGAGTACATACGACCATCAGGGTGCTCCTCGGTGAGCTCGAGGTTATTGGAGTCCCCGCTCTGCTCGGCCTTGATAGCCCGCTCCAGGATTGACTTGGCTCGGGCTTCCTCAGCTGGTCGAAGAAGCTATATAGAACAAGTGATACAAATAAATATGACATTTTTTTTAAATGTAGCGTGATATACACTACAAATTCTGTAATCTTTCTAAATTTTTTATACATGATAAACATTTTTGACATTTCTTGTATTTCATGTTAGCAAATATAGGGCAAATGAAAAGAATCAAAAATCTCAAATAAACAGTATGTCTTACATGAAATTAATAACAGTCCTTCATTAATTTCAATTAAGACGCAAAGTATAGCAATCTATTTTTTTTCCTTGTTTGGCATCTTCCAATGGATTCTGCCAGCGTCAAGTACTTCATGGAAGACACACAGTGTAAACTTTGCTACGAAGTTTCCATAGATGGGTTTACTCTACGAAGTTCGTTTTCTCTATATTATGAGTTTTATGATATATATGAGAATAGATAGTTTTATAAAATTACTGCAAGTAGACTAAAATGTCACGAATGAAGTCCCTTAGCTGCTTTCAAATGCCATACTTTACATTTTATTATGTATGCTTACGCATGCATGTATGTACGTATACGCAAAATACGCGCTTTGACGTGGAGTTGCGGAAAACAGCCCATTTATTCTATTCTATTATGTATTTTTGTACGGAACTTCTTTATTGAAACAAATGTTAGTCTGAACTTGAGAATTAGTCTCACGACGTAGTTATTTTTGACTTACTTTAACTCATTTTTGAATGACTTGTGGGTTGGAAGGTATTTGTATAACTATGACATATGAGGATGTCAAAATAAGTAGATCTTTATATTTAACTCACTTTCGAGTGACTTGTGGGTTCGAGTGACGTTTTTGTATAACCATGTCCAATTATAAACTACTTTTTGTAATAAGACAAAATGTCGTATGCCAAATGGGATTTTTTGTGGAACAGGTAATCTGCTTTTTTTTAGAATAAGTGTGAGAAACGAGCACACAGTCCACCTGATGGTAAGTGGATGCTGTGGCCGATAGACATCTACATTTATCCTCAATTAAGTCTCACAATGCAGGTACATTGTCACCCCTGAGGACTGAGATGGAATGCCTCGTTTCCAGTTAAAAGTGTCTCCAGTTCTCTACACTCACCATACGAAACACAGCAGTGTTAAGCTGCTATTCTGCGAGAGCGTGGTCCCACCCGCACGAGCCGACCCATTCGTGCTGCAACCACAATATGGCTGCAGCATGGCTCTATCATGTAAAAACATATGTTTTATAATAAGATAACAAATTATTTATAACTTTTACTTAGAAGTGATTAGTGTTCCTTAGATTGTTAGTTAGAATTGAATTACTAAATAATGGAATTTAATACAGCAACCATAGTTTAATTCCGTCTTCTACATCTAATAGTAAGTATAAGCCATATTACTCTGGGCAAAATGTAGAGCGAGGCGACGATAATAATATGAAAAATGAATAACTTACAAAAATGAGTGTAGTGCAGGTGGCCATTAAAATCAAAGAGAGAAAATGTATTCATCAAAGGAAGTAAATGTTGCCAAATTAATTAAGGCTTGTACATCACAGTCAATAATATCGTCCATATTCTTTATTTAAAAAAAAAAACAGGTAACCCCTGAATTCCTTTGCTATGAATATAATATATTATAATTTATATAAAACATAAATTGCACATGGAAAAACACCCAGACACAGAACTATCATTGAAAGAACATACTAATACTTGTTCTATGTGCATATCGAACCTAGGTCATAGAACCACATTCTAATATTTAAGAAAATTATTTACCTGTGCTCCCCCACCACCTGGGGCCCGCGCTAGGGATAAGGTTGTGAGCACACACTCCATATCTGGAAACAAAAACAGACTTTCTGTACTCTTATAAATGAGTAATTTATTTAATGCTGTAATTATTGTACAGGCAAAGATCATTATTTAAAGATTTACATAAGACAATTATTGTATAATTATTTAAAACAGAGTACCTAATGCAGTGATCTATTATTATTAAAAAAGTAAACACATGTTCAACAAAATGTGCTTCAAGCAAACATGTTATTTTTATGTTTATATTTTGCAAGCATTGACATGGCAAACCATAAAATTTAGCCAATGACACTCCAGGAATGAGGATAAATAAAACAAACTAACAAACATGCATACATACATTTGTACATATATATGCCCGAAAACATAATTTTGTTTCTGGCCCAGAAATATTTCATAGAATGAAGTAAGAAATATAGAGAATATTAGAGAACATTTAAGCTATTGTTTTGTCATAGCTAACAAACTCTATTTATAGTTCGTTGGTCCTAGCACACTTCACATGTATTTATAAATCTATTTAATTAAGCATGCTAGTTGTCGTTTCTTGAAACGTCCTAGTATTTTCAGGTAAGAGTCAAATAAAAAGGATGAAAAAGTACAACAAAAGAAAATGAAATATTAGAATTACCAGTGACATCGTAAAAGTCAGGCTTGTATGTTTCACCGGTGGGGTCGTTCTTATCCTGGGAGAGCCAGCGGATCTTGATCTTGCGCGTGGTGCGGTACACGTTCTGCACGGTCTGGCACACGTAGAACCCACCCTCCGCGTTGCGCACTGCTAAATACTCGTTCCTGTTGGAAATATTAACATTATCACTCATGGAATACCATCGCGAAATAGTAGCTTAATGCTGCTGTTATATAAGGCGATGAGTGTAGAGAATCAGAGACCCTATTTACTGGAAAGGAGCCATTCCACCTTAGTCAGGGGTTTCTATTCTACAGTGTGGCACAAGCCTCCTTTATATCAGAGAGAATTTTGGGACAAGAAAGTTTAAGTCTACTGCAATGCCTAATGAGTGTTCATGTACAATCTAAGAACTTCACATTTCTTCAAAATATTTTTTCAACCGACTTCAAAAAAAGCAAATTCTCAGTTCAACTGTATTTTTTTATGTGTGCCTCAGAACTTTTTTCTAGGTGTACTAATTTTAACGATTCTTTTTTTTATTTGAATGCTGGTTCTTCTCATGTGGTCACATATAAACTTGATCAAGAACTGACTCTGAGTAGTTTTTGAGTTATCATCCTTAATAATGCGTATTTAATTGACTTCGACTACATTGATGATGTTCTCATTTTATTTATATTGAAGTTAGTTGTTAAAAATTGTTTATTTTACCACTTGTTTTAATTTATTATTATTATTCAGGAGAGTTGTCCAGAAAAAAAAATGGTTAGCTAAGTCTTCAATGGGTTTAGGAGAGAGAGAGAGTAGGACACATTTTGCATAGGAACTATGTGATGACTTTTGTGATAAATTTTCTTGAAAGAAAACACATGGTTGTGTAGATTTTTCCAACCCAAATTTGGAACTGGTTTTGGGTACTTCAATCGTTTTTGGGTCCCAAATTGAATTAAAGTATCAGATTGGGAGGACGTGACGGCGTAAAAGAATTCATTACCCCATTTCATTCCACGGGTGTCGTAAAAGGCGACTATGGGAAATGTTTAAAAAAGTTTATGGTTTCCCAAAAGATTGAGTTATAACCGTCTTTTTTACATAAGACGTAAAATACACAGAGAGGTAACAGAGAGCAGCTTCAAAGGTGAAAGACGTTTACCTACTGTAGCCACCAAACCATCTTTCAAGTTTAGGGCCTCTTCTGTTTATCCTCCTAAATAGAAGAGGCCCATATCCAGTAGGACTTTTACGGGCTGTTAAAAACACCTTAACAAATACATAACAAAAAACAAAACATTTACAATGATAAGCACATAAATAAAGAGTATACCTTTATAATCATTACCTAAGGTTAGAGGGAGACTTATCGTCGAATACCGACTGATGTCCCCTTAAGGTAAACGCTCATTCGTCAGCACCGTACGCGCATCATTTTAGAATTCGTTGTATGAAATTATATGTAACTTCGCACATTTCACCTGCACCGTACGCGCCGTATTTTATAAAATGCGGTAGGTATCCGAATATTGAAGGAGGCATGCTGATGACGTCATAAAATGCGGCACGTTCTGCGTATGCAGATACTCATTGTTAGGCAACATGATATTGCTAACTTAGTGGATTTCCCACTAAGTGGTAGTTTCGACTGCCCTTCTGATAGAAAAATATTGTTTACAGCATCTAGTATTTTTCCAGTGGTTCAGTAGAATAAGGTTTCAATTAGTGGCAAGATGATCACTCCACCATTAACCCACTTACACATTTCGAAATATATTTATATTCATTTCAGGAGTATTTACTTTAACTTACTGTGTAAGCAACAATGAGTCATCAGACAAGACCGAATATCAGAAAGATCCATTCATCAAATGCAAATATCTGAACCCACACACCTGTGGTTAGAAAAAACTGCAAAACTTGTTGGCAATACTAAGATTTACGTCCGACGGGTACTGCGCGTACGTGCTAAATGTGCGAGGTCATCAGTAAATGGTGCGCGTATGGCGCGTACAGTGCTGATAAATGTGCGTTCGTTCACCTTTAAACAGTACACCTTACTACTAGAACACTACACTTAGTTTTGACTTACTTGTAGAACACTATTAGCTTGTCATCATTGGGCTTGGTTGGAGTGGAGCGACCGGCTGATGCGGAGAGCTTAGTCGCCATTGCGATCTCTGGCGTGGGCGACTGGTAAAGTTGCACCTGAAATAAATATCAGGTAATTAAAAATGGCAATGAATACAGCATGTTATAATGGTCAGAATTATTCAGGGAGAATAATAGCCGAATAAATTAACCATTTTTCTTTAAGGAAAAAAATTTTTCTTTAAGCCCCATGGTTAAAAAAGTAATTTAAAAAGAAAATTCAAATATGGCATGTCAGCCCCAAAACCAAAACGAATCTAAGAACACTTATAACATTATGCTAAAATCCATCAAGCTGTTTAGGCTACAGTGTGCCAAAAAATTTGATATCCATTCATAAATATACTCAAAATATTACGTTCCTTCTGAGGCAGTTGAACAAAAAGACCAACTTGCTATTTTTCAGGGCTAATGATAGGTTACTTTTATTTATTAATTTTTATTAATTTATTGATAAAATATAAGCTTACAGTATATATAACCAAATCGCTTATTGCACATGTTTCGGTTGGTTTTTTAAAACATTTAAAACCAGAATTGTATGTGCAAACAGAAATATAGTAATAATAACAATCACAATTTACCTTTACAGAAGTTTAACTCTTACTTATATTTGAACTCTGTACCCATGTACTTTTGAACAATAACTCACATGGTGCATCTTACCCTCATTTTAAATAGCATGCAATGACACCAGTTTCATGCTGGTTACTGATTTCCATAGAAAATGTTGATGGAATTATTGACTTAGAAAAATTGACAGTTAAAGTTAAAAATGTTTTAACTTAAGTGTTGTGTAAAGGGCAAATATTCCAGTGCAGTGCATTCTATAAAATGTCTATGTTCTGCAGTGTATTTAAATAGGATGTTAAAGATAATATGTTAAGATTTGTCATTAATAAATTACTTATACCAAAAATCAATATACAAAACAATCATAATGCATCAATTGGTAAGTACTTTAAAATTGGACTAGATGTTTTGTAATTATGATGAACCAGAACTTGCTCTCGCTGTGTAATTACAGTGTAAGGGAATCCACTACCTTATATCATCCCATTGGTGTTGAAAGTGGCGACAGAGGGAAATAAAACAGAAGACAGGCGGCAACATCTTCCTAATTAATACTCAAAATTATAAAAAGCTGCAGTTGCCGATCTGCCTGGCAATCATGGGAGAATATCCTCTATCGTAGTATACAGGGTGGCCCATAAGTCCCTTGAAATGTAAAAAAATAATTAAAAAAAAACTAATGACATTATGAAAAAGGTTTTTATTTTGTCATAATCCTTATAAAATGGGAATTATTTTTTGAAAATTACATCATCTAAATGTAATCCGTTACGATCGCGGCACTCCTGTAAGCGACGTTTAAAATTATCCATCACTGCGTGGCAAGTAAGCTCTGTAATGTTTGCCATTTCTCTTTGGATATTTTCTTTCAGGACGTCAATTGTCCGCGGGTTGGTTTCGTACACTTTAGTCTTAAGATAACCCCATAAGAAAAAGTCCATTGGGGTCAGATCTGGACTACGTGGTGGCCAAGGAATATCTCCTCTTCGAGAGATCACTTTATTAGGGAAAAGTTGACAGACGACCGGCATAGCGACGTTAGAGGTATGGGCAGTTGCTCCATCTTGTTGAAACCAGGTCCGCGTATTGAAGCCTGGAAAATTCTGCAACTCTGGTGTAAAAAAGTCCTGGATCATAGCTACATACCGTTGTGAAGTAACAGTAAGCGCGCGGCCTCTGCCGTCCTAAAAAAAGTAAGGGCCTATAATGCCATGCGCTGACATAGCCGCCCAAACTGTCACTTTAGGGCTATGTAAGGGCTTTTGATGTTTGCGATTTGGATTTTCGCAACTCCAGTAGCGACAATTTTGCTTATTGACATGGCCGTTGATGTGAAAGTGAGCCTCATCAGAGAATAACACGTTATTAAACGAAGTAAAGCGGTTCAACATTTCATTTGCGAAATTTAGTCTGTGGATAGTGTCAGTATCTTTTAATTCCTGTACTAACTGAATCTTGTACGGGTGAAGATGTAAATCTTTCTTTAAAATTCGCTGTAACGATGTTCTGGGTAAGTTTAATGCACTGGAACGCTTACGAGTAGACTGGGTAGGATTTTCACGAATTGAGTGTTTCACTACATCGATGTTTTCTTCCGTCCGTGATGTCCTTGGTTGACCTGACCGTTGTTTATCCAACGTCGAACCACTCTCTTCGAACTTAATAACCCAGTTCTTAATCGTTTGAACACTTGGAATGTCTTTAAAGTTGCGTAAATTCTGATATTCTCGAAATTTACGCCGCGCAATGGTAGCCGAATCATTGTTTCGATAAAACTCGCGCACACAAAATGCACGGTCCGCACCGGTGAAACGCTCCATGGCGACTGAATTCCCAGAAACCGTCGGTACTCCCCCCGCACCGCGCGCGCCACTCATGCGCGCCTTTTGTATTTTATTCGAAATTTACATTTCTAACGACTTATGGGCCACCTGGTATAATAGAGACTATCCCCCTAAAAGGCAACCTATGGGACAGGCCTATATTTAGCAATAGACCTTGATAAGTTGTAATTATGATGATGATGAATGACCAACTAAATGTGTCCTAATCAAGGTTGCCATAACTAACAACAGAATTACATGTAAAAACAGATTGGGATTAAATTACTGGTACAGATTACATTTAATTTTAACTTTCTTTTAAATTTCTATAATTTTATTTGCAATCATTTTTTTTTTATTTCATTTTGTAAGTCAATAAAAATAAAATAACAAGAAAAAAAACTTGTACTTTGGTATCTTTAACATACTGAACCCTGAACATTTTACAAAAATATCAAAAAGTTAGGCAATAACCCAAACACTTGGCAAGCTAGATCAAAACTCAAAACCTTTGACTTGTGAAAAAACTTATGAATTAATATTCTGTAGTTTGCTAAAATAACATCTTATTTGAATTCCCACTAAAATATATTGCATCAAACAAAACTTAAAAACAATAATTTAAATTACCTAAATGAGATAAAATGTGTAAAATTAGTTTTGTTAAATGTATACATGTGGAATATGTTTATTTGTGTAAATATAAGAAATCATTATGTCAAATTATTCCTTTTAAATAATCAAACTAAAAAGACAGTGTGTCAACAAAGTTCGGTTTAGAAAAGACAGACACATCGGGAGTGATTACATTAAACAATTCAAACAACAACATATTTGTCATTTTACATGTGTAATAAATTCTCTCTCCCCTTGTCTTATTTAATACATAGAATCCTAAATTTAATGAATGAAAAAATCTGAGTGTCATTCTTATCACTCGCTACTAATCAAAACCTAGGCCATTCCAAGGTGCCTTAGAAATTTGAAATTTGGCATCAAGGTAGATCATTAAGCATATACAAAGGAAAAATCTGGAAACTAGAAATTATTGATATTGTGTCAAAAAAGGTATTAGTGGTATAAGTTTCAGGTACTTGAAAATAGCCACAGCAATAACTTTATCATTTAATTCTTATAGTTTAAATTTTAAAAAAGTAAAATGTTTAAAATATTTATTAAGCAAAAATTGTTTAGTAAGGGTTATTATACTACTAAAGAGTACTTAATTGATAATAACCCCTAGGATTGAGATGATTGCTACTATGCTGTATCTAAATGTTTTCATAACAATCGTATATTATATTGTAAGTTATGTTTTTTTTTTAAATAAATGGCCCACATGGTTTCTTGCTGTTTTCCCAGGACAGAGGTTTTTCTCTATTCTATTCTACAGCCAAGCATAAACACCTCTTTTATCTATGAAGCATGTCGTCTTTGTGGGGTTGTTCGCTCTGAACATTATTTGTACTAGACTTGACCCTTTTTTAATACTTATGTTTTTAGTGGGATCAAGATTTTTCTAAAATATACACCAAGTTAGAACTTTAATGCCTGAAATACTTGTAATTATATCAACTAAATGTGATTATGGAGAAGTCCAATTTAGAGCCAATTAAAGGTCATTTGTTCAAAATAAGTTTAGACAGAATCAATTCTCACCTTGGTCCTGTTTCTCTTTATTCTTGTGTCTGGTGTGGACTCAGCATCAGAAGTTTTCTTAGCTGGTGTGGTACCATCATTAACTTTTGTTGGTGATACCTGCCTTCTCTTTCTCATTGGGGGAGTCACTGTAGCCAGTTTCAATGTCGACTTTGGAGTAGACTTTGTTTCAGGTTTAACAGGAATTTTAATATCTGGTTTTTTTTCTTCCACTTTCTCTTCTTGCTTTTGTGTATTCTCTATTTGTTCCTCCTTTTCAGGAGATTCAACATTTTCTTTGACTTCCTCAATTTTATCTTCTACTAGTGGTGGTTTTTCACTTGGCTCTTCCTTTTTATCTTCTGGTTTTGAAGCTGAATCTGGTTTAGTGCTCTCAGATACAGACTGCTCAGATACCTGAGGAGTTGAGGTAGACACTTTATCTTGATTTTCATTAGCTGCCTCAGGTATAGGTTTGTTGTCATTTTGTGTAGGAGCAACATCAGCCAGCGAGGCTGGTTTGAGTTCTGTTGGTTTGGAAGGAGACTTTTCTGGGGCCTCATTAGCCATAGACACTTTAGGTTGAGCAGGACTTTCCATTTGATTTACTGGACTTAATCCATCATTTTTCTGTGGAGTGCTCTGAGTACTTTCCGGTTTCTCTGTTGATTTCTCAGGAGGTTTTGGGGTACTTGGGGATGTTTTAGCAATATCCTGCTTATCCTTATTACTTTCAGGATTTTGTGGTTTGAGTGCAGTGGGTGTGTTTGACCCTGGTTTTGATGGTTCGATTGTACCATTTGCATGACTGCTGGAGTCAGGCTCCTTCTTCTCAGGTGTTCTTGTCAAAGCTAAAGGTTGAGATGTGTTTGCTTTATCTTGTACTAAGCTCAGCGGAGCACCAGTTGTAGTAGCACTTTTGCTGGGGCTTGGTGGGGGAATTGAATTTTGAGTGACATGTGATAGGTTTCCATGGTGACTCATGTTCTGTGCCATTTGTGCCATGTTGGCTGTCACTGGCGCCATGGAGGGCACTGGGTGAGGAGGTAATTGAGGTGGATTCACGTGATGCGTCAGGTTCTGTCCCACCAGATTATTGGATCCGTGATGTAAAGAATTTTGAGCACCCTGAGGGAGTCCGACAGCGTGGTTGGCGCTTGCCACGTTGCCCTTCGCGGGACTCGCCTGACCGCCCGGCTGCGGGACCCCCGGCTGGGGCAGCACCGGCTTTAAAGCAGAATTCATATCAAACGACGACAAAACTTGATGCGTTTTTCAGGGGTTCACACTGAAACATAAAGGTAATGCGTTAACGACACTGTTATTTTAGACGTTAACACTCTCTGATGTCTTTGACCCAAAACAATAATTCATACATAACACAACCTGTGTCTATGTATAGGCGTACGCGCGTATGAACGCGAACACGACATAGCCCGCCTTTACCGCTACTTTCTATTAACTAAGGTGATTACGAGCTATGATTTATCTTTGAAAAGTTACCAGTAACTATTTCGCCGTTAAAATTTCATGAAATAACTGCGCGAACTGAGGCAATAGTGGCGATGCAGCCGACAAAAATTATGCGTTGCTGTAACTAAGAAACTTCCGCAAGATTCGGACCGCCGTTGATGCTGGGCTCGACACGGACGTCAATCACACTAATAGCACACTTAAACTCACTAGCGGTAAACTAATTCCATGATTTTAAACACTTTTTATTACAAATTACTAAAAGCTAAGTTTGATTTAGATCGTTGAAATCTTTCAACAAGTATTATGCACAGTAGTTTAGAGATGGCGTCGGCATAACGCGCATGCGCCACCCTCTTTTTCTGTTATCCAATGAATACATAGAATAAATAAAACTAATTGTTCCCAGAAACAGTGTCCCTTTTTAACCTTCTGTTTCCGCATAACGCTTTCTCATTGTGGTCTCCTGAGCAGTGTGACCATCTTTAAAATACAGATTCTGCCTTACTTTGCTTAAAAAACTGCCAAATCCTGCCAAAGTCTGTAGTGAAAAATGCCTAAATACTGCTAACTTTATTTAACATTGTATTAAACTAAGAAAAGTACAAATACACATTTAAATTACATATTTTCATTAAATTAAAATAAAACATATCTTTCGTTGGTCTTGTTTAACGTGCAAGATAGACGCTAAATGTTTGTTTATAAATCTGTTCCGTGGTTTTGTCTTATTCAAATTTATTTGAGAGAATATTCTTTCGCATGCTGAATCCACTCATATTTTGTGATATTTACAATGCCAAGTTGCAGTTACACAGTCTGAATCATGTTTAGCTTTGAAGATCCACGATGAAAGAGAATCTTGCTCCCACTCCGCTTTATATGCTCTTTCATATTTTGGCTCCATCACCACCAGCTATAATTACTATCGACCACTAAATATTATTAACAAGATATTATCACCATGAAATCTAACACGATACCAAACTAAAGCACGTTTGTTCTATGACTTATTGAAATATTAACCATAAACTCGTATTTATTAATACTCGATTTAAGATTATCAATTTTACACACAAACTTTTAAATTTACTTATTGAATGTGATACGAATATAACGTACAGGGAAATCCTCCACATGCCGGTGAAGTATCTAGCATTGCTATTTTCGGCATTTTAAGTTGTTATAATGAAATCTATTTTTAATACCCCAATACTGCCAAATACTGTCAGGTTTTATAAAACGTCAACTGATCATTCCAGAGACTAAAATAACAGGCCAATCCTGCCAAAATGGCAGTAACCTTCCACATATGGTCACACTGCTTTTTAATAATTAAAATATTTTCTAAAAATAAGATTATCGTTACAAATTTGACTACAATATTTTATTTTAATAAAAAACTTTTACGAATGTTTTTAAAATTTAAATAAGTTTTAATATTGACTAATTGATTTACTATTATATGATACTATGTACATTAAGTATCTGAAAAAATTATAGCATTAATATTATCTAAAATCTAAATATTTTGATTTTATTACATACCTAATTATAATATAGGAATATGTTAAGTTTGCATAAAAAATTAAATATCATTATATCTGGCGTACGTGGACTATATAGTTTAGGGTGATATTATATCCCCGAAACTTTTTACCGGTGTGTTGGAAGACGTTATCAAGCTGGACCTGGACTGGACACGATACGGTATTAACGTCAATGCAAATACATAACTCTCCTTCGATTTGCTGACAAATAGTAGTTATAACAGAATCTCGTGAGGATCATAAAACTGCTCAACGACCTCAATTGTCTCCCAAAAGGTAGGTCTTAATATGAATATGAACAAGACAAAAATCATGTCCAAAGTCTATATTATACGCTCAAGGTTGTTGAGAAATCCCTGGAATAAAATTTCTGAAAAGATAAATCCGATATAGACCAAGTTCAACTGACTATTTCAACTCGGCTGGACCATGTCCGGGATGCGTGTCAGTAGACTGACGCCACGTCTAGTCTACTGACACGCAATGGGCCATGGGCCAATAATATCATATCGAAGAACCAACAACGGGTGTTGGAGAAAAGTTCTGTGGTTGTGCTGTAGACGCTCAACTAAGTGTAAACAAACCGAAACCTATATCACGCCATCGCATTAGCCGAACAACTCTGCATAATATATACATAGATTAAACTTCGCACTACCACACCACACTACTCCACGGGTTGAACACCTAGCACAGCTGGAGATCCAAAGTTTAATCTATCCATTAGATACTAAAAGTCTACAAAATATTACACAAACACTATAGATCTGTTATATGCCGACCTAGAAGTAATATATCATATGTGGGAGAATGAAATAAAGATTTTCGTTTTATATTTTCCGATTTTCATTAATTTTACATTCTACCTTCTTATTAGATTGTGAATTCTACTAAATTGTGGTATTTCATCTACCAACTTTCTAAAATTAGGGTTGGCAACATTAAATTCAAAATTAAGAAGTACTAGAGGTACTAGAGCTAGAGCTAGAGTTTTGGCGGGAACTTGACTGGGGGCGGTTTGCTGCTCCTGTATTATAGTGTAAATAATAGTTTGAAATGGATTTTGATATGTAAAAGTGGTGCGGTTTTATGTATTAACTGTCTACGCATGTCAACTATTAGTGGAAACGGTGAAACAAGTGCTCTGATGGTGATGGATTCTCAAGATAAGCTGTTTGTCTGCATAGGCGCCTTTAGATACAATCGCCAGCTGTCTGCTGGCTCAAGTTGCCGTCAAAATCTCCCAAGGGCTGCACAATGTGACGCATCAACATATTGTGAAGCAGTGAACTATGAAGGATAATTATACATTTGCGAAAATTATAATAAACCGAATAAAAATACTCAAGACTTGGCCTGAAGGCCATAAACTCAAAAAAAAAATAATTAAGAAGTACTAAAGAGTATATAACCACTTCGTTTTAGCAAGTACCTTTGATCTCAAATAGGTAGTATGCCAAGAATATAGGTACTACTTTTATACGACTGACGAGAGATAATGTTCAAGGTAATGTACATGTATAAAATATAAGAGCAGGTATGTAAAAAATAAATATATAACAAATACTTTGTGAAATCAGCTTTAGTTATTGTTCTGAGTAGTGAGTATATAATCACTACGAAAAACAGCAAAAACAAAATAATAAAAAAAACACGTGTCATAAAAAATAGTCTTTTAAAATTGACAATAAACGTATATTAATTTATATCAATAAAATATTGGGATTAACATAAATATTTTCGTAATAAATAAAATATAAAAAATACAACCACAAATATAATACATTTAACAAATACAAAAATCTATATATAACCTCCCAGAACGATGGTGATGTGAATCTCAAGATAAGGTGCCTGTTTGGTTAGGAGTCTTGAGATACTTTCGCCAAATTGTCTGGTCTGCTGGCTCAACTTGCTGTCAAAATCTCCTGGATACTACGTAATGTGACACATCAACATATTGTGAAGCAGTGTAATGTAAACGACTATTATTACTTGATACCGAGATAAATAAAGACGTGGCTTAAAGAATACGCATCCAAACCAAATATCTAAATAATAAAAAAATGGTCTTTGGCCATAGACCACAAACTGCGCACAGACACTGCGCTAGCACTTCTTACTAGTTTGTGACCACAAACTAGTAAGAAGTGCTAGCGCAGACTTAGCCAAACGCGGCGAAACGTCTCAGAGTTGGTACATTGTATACCAAACGTAATATGGAGCTTTGAGCATAGAAAATAGAGGAGATGGCAAGTCTACAAAAAATCGTGTCAAATTGAAACAATAAATGGCGGACGCTGTAAGCTGATGTTAAGTCAATCAACTTTTAAAATTTAGTAACACCTATATGTATTTTTATTTATTTTTAAATATGCAAAATTATATTTTCTCTAACGATTAGGGAGGCTAGGGGAATTTAGCGTGAATTTAACCGTCAGATGATTACTGCTCCAGTTTTATCGTTTAAATAATAGTTTGAAGACGATTTTGATACTTAATGCACGGATAGCAACTCGTGCTTGTAAGTTGTAAATTAGTAAGCTATAGTTAGTAAGCGTATAGTAGCTCTGACTTCATATTATACAGAATAAGCTTTACTTCTAGGCTAATAAGTTACTGTCTAAAGCCAGGATGGTTAAACAGGATGGAGTTCTCTTTTTGAGCTAGTAGCACCCCCCAACAATTTTTTCTACTATTCTGGCTTGTGCACCAGTTTCGTGTGGCCGGTTAAGCCAATGTCTTTTGAAGTAAAAACTACTTTAGATTCGCTGTGATTTGTAAATTATTATTATTATTTGTAGATTATAAATTATTTGCCGTGAAATATTTTTTATTTTATAGCCACCCCGGCTTAGCATAGGTGATTTCTGGATTTTGGCAACAAAATCAAGAAAAACCAAGTGAAGTAGACCCAAAATAATAAAAATCTGCGGATGCTAAACCGCCTGCCAAGCGTGGTAGCTGTGACAAAAATTGCCCTATGAGGCAATCTATAGTAGTATATATAGTCTATATATATATATGTACACGCCCCTAGCTGCCCCAACAAAGGTTGACGGGACTAGGACCCATGAGTAATCCCATCGACGGGCAACTAAGGGTGGGGCTCTAAATGCCTATGGACAATTGACCTACACAATAGAGATAAGGCTAGGTAAATAAATAGTACGTACCTGGTTCCGAAGCTAAGACCGCCTCAAGGCTCGGTCAGGCCGTAGG